AGCATCACCTTATTTTCATTGATCTCATACATGGTATACCCACTGGGACCCAAAGCAGTGCTTCCCTCAGCACCATAGATACCAATTTCCTTCCTACCTGTCTCCAGACAGGTTGTCACACTCCTCCTTCTCATATCTTTGGGAAGACCCAGCAGGACTGGGATGGATACAAATGCACCTAGTGTTCCCTCTCCACTCAGTACCATCCACCTAAGACATCCACAACAGCCTTTCAACCCACTGACTCAATTTTTACCTTGACTGCTGTTATTTTACCACTCCTGGTACTGCCCATGGTACTGACATTAATTATACCAGGACCTCTGTTGGTGAAAATGTTGTAGATTACAGAGCCTCTACACCAAGACCATTACACAAGCTAATAATACTACTCTCCTCTGCAGTCCAAAAACTGATACCATTTATTGCACCCTTGGTGTCACCCAGACCAAGTTTTCTATCTTCATACCTTGGCCCCATATTGCCCTCATCTTTGCCTTGGCCACTGACTATAGTGAACCCCTTGACTACAGCAACCAACAGCCACTACCATAGTATCACCCTGGATATCAATTACCTCAGAACTTCTGATTCCACCATCAGTACAAACTAAGTTGGAACTGATCCCTTCAGTACCAGTACTTCCAAAAACAGCACTGCAATTGGATAATGAAGATCCCAGTTCTCATCAATATGAATCTGATGTATCCACATTCTTGGACCAGGCTCTGAGCACTTCACCAGAAGCTAACATGGCAGACATCAAGCTGACCTTACCAGCAGTTTTAGTGGTCATATCAGGCCATTTCCCCCTACAACCCATCTACAGCAGGTTCCTCCTTGCACACCGCTACCAGCAACAAGTCAAACAGTTCTTCAAAGGACTTAACATCTTCATGTCATTTATTCCCAATACCCCAGTCCGGAACCTTTCGGTGGTCCTATCAAAAATATCAGCCAGACCACTGAAAACTTTGGCAGTTGTGGATTTTCATCTCCTTTCAATGAAAGTGGCTTTCCTGATGGCAATCACATCAACATGCAGAGCCATTGTGTGCTCTCCAGGTGGACAACCAGACCTCACTTTCCTTCTTAAAGTGGCCTCTGTCTGCCACTTCTCTTAGAGTATAACTCTCACTACCTTCCACCAGAATCCATTTATGGAACTAGAGCAAATTTGTGGCACCATACACACAAGATTTCAGAATGTATGATTTGCTGGTTTGGATTACAACCAGAAGCAGAAAAAAAAATAAAGGGTGGTGATACTGCATAAACTTTATAAATTCATACTGCATATAAACTTTATGAAAAAGCCAGTTCATGTTGCAAACCTTATAATTCTGAACGTTGGCATCAGTTCTTATTAAATGAACCAAAGCTGTCTAATAGCTTCCAAACTTGACATCTGTTTGGTCTTACAAACCAGATCAGTCCCTTCTGTCCAGATTCAAGAGGCAATAATCCATTGCTCTCTGATCAGTTTTTATAAGCAAACCTGCAAATGAATGAGTCAAAATTTTAGAAAAGAAAATTACCCTTATCCTATCCAAATAAAACCAAATTCGTGTTTTCTAAGTTTTGTGAACATCTAACACTAGAAGTGTTAACAGGGTTACTTGGTACCATATTCTCCTCTGCCATTTACCATAATTGATTTGGCTAGAATACTATCTCAATCCGTCTACATCAGTTTTTCCTTCTACAATGTATCTGTGGAATATCATTTTGAACCACAGTTGCCAGTTTGAGGGCAAATATGAGAGCTTGGTAGAAGTGAATTATACCTGAAGTGTCTGATAGATTAAAATGCCTTTGGTTAATTTCAAAGGTGTTCCAAATTAATCACCGCAGTGTAATTTTTAAAAAAAGTCAAAGGAGCTTAGAAAATCTTCAAATGGCAAATCCTTGTCTTACAGGAAATACTTCTTTTCTTTAAGAAAATATCATCTAGAAATGAAGTAATGAATGCTGCACTTGCCACTGTATCCCTCCATTTCATGCATATTTATTTATTCTATTTATTTAAAATATTTTACCCCACCTTTCTTTTTAAAAAGACCCATGGCAGCTTACAACAATTAAAATACAATATTTAAAAGCTAAAAACAGCAAGTATGCCAATATTAAAAGGAATTAAACAAGTAAATAAAATCATTACTATAAACAATTTTCAAAACAATAGAGCAGAATAATTAATTTTTTTTAAAAAAAAAAAACCCTCTCAGGATGCCAGTCTATAAGGAAAAGCCTGCCTGAAAATAAAGGTCTTTGCAGTCTTTTAGATAGCTTGGACCCAAGCTGTTTAGGGTGTTAAAGGTAAAGGTAAAGGTTCCCCTTGACAATTTTTTGTCCAGTCGTGTTCGACTCTACGGGGCGGTGCTCATCCCCGTTTCCAAGCCAATAGAGCCAGCGTTTTGTCCAAAGACAATCTTCCGTGGTCACATGGCCAGTGCAACTTAGACACGGAACGCTGTTACCTTCCCACCGAGGTGGTCCTTATTGATCTCCTTGCATTTGCATGCTTTCGAACCACTAGGTTGGCGGGAGCTGGGACAAGCGACGGGCGCTCACTCCGTCGCGTGAATTCGATGTTATGACTGCTTGGTCTTCTGACCCTGCAGCACAGGCTTCTGCGGTTTAGCCCGCAGCGGAATTGTGCCCAGGAATGGATCAGTAGCTAATGTAGCTGCTGTAACAGGGGACTTATATGTTCCCTGTAACCAGCCCCAGTCAGCAATCTGGCTACAGTATTTTGGACTTCTGGGTTATGTATTCAAATTTAATCTGTGAATAAATGTAATCAACATTTGATTGATTTCTTAGATTGGATGGTAGCATTCTTTTGAGTGGAATTAGTTCTTCCAAGGACTAGTTTAGTTTTAATGGTAAATATGATTAATACTATGTGATAGAAATCCTGTTGGGCGGGATCTGCCTGTATAACAGGAATGATGGGAGATTGCTGCTGATTAAAGGCTTCCTATTGGTTGCAGGGAACTTCATCACATTGTGTGCAATGTGGTTTTAAATGGAGGAATAACTGGCTAGAAAAGTATTAAGCATCCCCCATGCCTTGTTTTTTCACTCTGTATTGCAGACTTTTGAGGATTGTTCTTTTTAGTTTTAAAAAAGGCATGAAGGATAGTTATAGGCATCTAGATATAATATCTAGTTGTCGTTATAAGGCTAAAGTATTCTAATTATGGGAAAATACATATTTAATGTGGACTTGTCAGAGGATTACACAAAAGAAAAACAGTGCTCTCTCTCTCTCTCTCTCTCTCTCTCTCTCTCTCTCTCTCTCTCTCTCTCTCTCTCTCTCTGTGTGTGTGTGTGTGTGTGTGTGTGTGTGTGTGTGTGTGTCCTCCCTGGGTTCCTCTCCACATCTTATTTTACACTCCTGTAACTGTCTTACCACAGATATACGTATGCCCTGCTCTAATTATGTGATGAAGCTACATGTGGTACACTTGAATGCTGGTCTTCTTGTTATGCCACAGATTCCATTGCATGAATAACATACAACATAATGAATTTGTGAGTCAATCTGAATGTGCTACAGCCATTTGCACTTTCCGTGCCCTGTTTTTACAATATAAGCTACCCACAGCAGATGTCAATAAATATATTTGATATGAGCCATTGAGTGGTCATGGGATGCATGGGAGAGAAATATAATAGAAGCAATGGTATGGAATTTAAATCACAATAAAAGGGTTGCACTCTGTAATGCAAATACACAGTATGGTATAGTGGATAGAGTAGCGGAGTAGGACTCCGGAAATCTGCTTGGTCGTGAAACCCAGGGTGTGCGTGTGGAACTGGTAAAGCCACTTCTTGAATATCTTGTTCTAAGCCTTCGTAGGGTCAGCTGTGATGTTACAACACATAGCATGCACGCACACAATCTGTAAAGATGTGGCAAGCTGCAAATCCAATAATGTCCTGCTATTGATTGACTGGTTGTACAAATTGGAACATGTTAGCAGCTAATTGGGTGCCTTGCTTAGGCAATATGTTTAACATGGCTTTTAAAGGGAGCACTGAAGTCACTATCTTAGACTGTCAGAGAATAACTGTACCATGACCAAAAAGGTCAGTAATTAAATGACACACAGGTTAATTGCAGGGACAGACAAGAGAGCAGAATGGCACATCAGAAGGAATTGGCTAAATAATACTGCTTTAATTCTGCAAGGAGAAAGGGAAGAAGAGATTCAAAAATCTGCTACGCATTCAAGACCATCCTTGGCAATTTTAGCTGAGGTTAAGCTTTGTGCTCATTAAAGTCTAGAGCTACAGTAGAAACAGGGAAGAAAGCCAGGCATGTGGGTGGCAGGCACAAGATTCCAGGATATCTTTCAGACGTGAACACAAATTCCATCCAGTGTTGTTTTCCTTTTTTTTTTTTTTCACATCTCCAGCCCACATAGCCTTTTTGTTGTGGTTAGGCTTAATATTTGATCCAACATTGGCTTGGATTTTTAGAACAAACATTCGCCACAATTTTACTCATTATTCCTCTTTTAATTAGGGATGGGATACCTATTATCATAATGTAGGACGTGCCATATTAAGACCTTGTTTCTTTGATTTTTTTTTGTTTTGGCATCACACTGAACATTAGAATGGTTTGTTAAAATAAATGTGGGCATTTTTTAAAAGGGTAAAATAGATGTGGAGGCGATACATCTTAATTAACCAGTGGTATGCATTGGTACAGCTTTCTAAGTGGAATAGACCCAGTCTGTATTTCTGATTCCTATCTTGAGAATTGTAGATTATAGAGATGAAATTTGACACATGATTTGTGTATCTTTTCTGTCATTTTCAAAAAGTTGTGATGTCTTCTTCCTGAACCATTTCTAATAATTCAGATCACCAAAGCAAATTTAATATGCCAGTATGCATGTACTTTAATTATTGTTGTAGCAGAGCATGCCTATTCTTTACTACAAAATTTCAGCATTTTCTTTTCCCATTTTCTGTTTCTTCAGGTCTGTTTCCAGCAGTGCTGAACTTGGCTTCTAATGCCATCATCACAACAAATGCTACCTGTGGTACAAAAGGCCCTGAAATGTATTGCAAATTAGTGGAACATGTTCCTGGCCAACCAGCAAGAAATCCTCAGTGTCGGATCTGTGACCAGCGCAGTCGGAATCCCAATCGTATGTTTGCTTTTTTTGTTTCATATTGCTAGCTCCCTTTGCATATACATGTGTCCAATCCTTCATGGACTTTTCTGAGCCACAACTGGAATTATATAAAATACTGTATTTTTTTTGCTCCATAAGACGCACTTCCCCCCCCCAAAAAAAACATGGGGGAAAAAGTGTATGCGTCCTATGGAGTAAATACTGTAAAACAGCACTCCCCAGGGCCCTGTGGGGGTGCGGGAGCTCAGAAGGGTCCTGAAAGCCACACTAGGCCCCTTTGGAGGCTTCCCCAGCCTCCCCCGGAAGGGCCAGAGGGGGCAAATCACCACCTTCTGGGACACTTTTAAGGCTTGGGAAGCTTCAGAAGAGTCCCTGAAGGTGGCGATTTTGCCCCCTCTGGCCCCACGGGGGGGTGGGGTTCCAAAGGGTCATAGTGTGCTTCTCCCTCTACATTGCAACTCAAACAAAATCTCCTTTTCTCTTTCTTCCTTCTCCACATCTCCCAAATAGTGTTATGCAGAAGGAAGTGGATTTGAGTATTGTCAAATGCAAAGGAATTGCTAGTATTTGATTTTATCTTCTTTTATTTTTGATTGTTGTATCTTTACCCCAGGAATGGATGACGATGGGGTTTTCTGCCTCAGGTGCTAAAATAACTTGGCCCACTTGTGAGTTGAGGAGCAGTGCCAGATGCTCCAATCCACCAAGTTATCTAGTCAGCTTATTAATGTTACTAAAAACAATCATTTTTATACACACACATAGGATATTGGATAACATGTTCCCATGTTGCTTACTCACACAAACAAAACCTAAGTTCAGAGACCCTTAGAGAACTGTCTCCCAGGGTTATTGTAAGGGTGGAATGAAGAAAAATACCTGTGTCCCCGTAAAGGTGAGAGATAAATGTAGTACTAAAATGTTGCATTGTGCTGCCCATCCTTTTTATGAGGAAAACAAAGGGAAGGATACTTAAGAACATACTTCCCTTTAAAAATAGGCTGAAGATTTCCAGCCAAAAACATTCCTGAAAGCTTTAGAATGTGATTGCTTTTGTAAACCCTTTTTCCAGGACCATTTGGAGGCTTCCCCCACCCTCACCTCTGCTGGCCCAGCAGGCTGAAATTCCCAGATTATTTTTTTCCAGTTTTTCCCCCCTAAAAATTTGGTGTGTCTTATGGAGAGGTGTGTTTTATGGAGCGAAAAATACAGTAATCATGAAATTATTTTGCGACCAATGGGGGGGTTCCCTCCTGGGTTAATTTTAGCTATCATGTTTACACATACGTGTGTTCTGAGTATGGGGGATCTGCACAATAGTGAAAAATAATTTCCCTCACAGCATTATTTTATCCTCTTGGAAATGCCAGAGTAGAATGATATCATCATTTGTTTATCTCTATGGCTCTTTGGTCATTAACACAGGAAGTATACTGTATGGACCAGGCTGGAAAAACTTACTTTTTGGTTGTGCTTACCACCTATAATCTTTCAGTCAGTATGGCTACCAGCTGGACTGTTCTGGGAGCTGTCATCCAAAAAATGTTATTTTTCCAAGCTGTATCTCTGGATTAATTCTGGATACTCTTAATGACTCACTGCACCCTTTAGCCTCTATATAATCTACATATATTGCAGTTATGTCCATCTCTGCTGTTAATCTGCAGTGCAGTGAGCCATTGAAATACATGGTCGTTCATTACAAACCCATCTCATTTTAAGTTTTGCAAAATGTTCATTTGGTATATGAACTATTTATTTACCCAGAGATGGCCTTTTAATAGAAGTGCCATGTAATATAACTAGACTTTAAATGTTCCCCTTGGAATGTGTGAATCTGGTGCACCTCCCTTTAATTACTGTAGAAGGAAATGAGTACACAGTGCCTGATTAATCATATGTGAACACAAATTAAAGACCACACTTTGATGGGTTGTCTGTGTAAGCTAACTCCCTTGTCATTTATCACTGAGCTAAGTTTTTGCGTGAAGCCTGAAGTTCTGTTCCCTTTTTAAAATGGGCAATATATAGAATATTTTTGTCTCTCCCATTTTAAATATAAGAGAATACATCCCAGCAATTAATCAGGGGTTTCAAATTAATTAAGATTAAATTTCTGTAATGGGATTACAGTTAATTGTATATTCATCTTTCATCCTTCCTTTTCATGACTAACCCTCATATCAATTTGACTTGCAGAGGCTGATAGCAAAATTTCCAATTAGGCAAGTTCTATCACTATCACCTTGGAGACCTGGTTTTGATTTACAGCTGATTTTTCCCCCAAGATACTTTTAAACTTATTCTAGGGAAAAGTATAATAATAATAATAATAATAATAATAATAATAATAATAATAATAATAATAATAATAATAATAATAATAATAATAATAATAATAATAATAATAATAATAATAATAATAATAATAATAATAATAATAATAATAATAATAATAATAATAATAATAATAATAATAATAATAATAATAATAATAATAATAATAATAATAATAATAATAATAATAATAATAATAATAATAATAATAAATAATAAACATCATCATCATCACATGGTCCCTAGAGCAAAGCTTTTCCTTTCTTTAGCTCGTGGTATTTTTAAATATAAAGGTAAATCCAACAAAAACTCAGTTCTTATTGGAGTTATTTCAACCTCATATGCTGCCTGTAGTAAGTACGACTGGGAGCAACCTTTCTGGGCTGGAAAGACTGTCAATTATTGCAGCAGTAATCAATTGTTCCTTCCCTGCCTCTGATTTAAAAGAGAGCCATACCTCTCTGCTTAAGTGTCTTGTTTCCCTCTTTTTTCCCTGCTTGCAGTTAGCGCAGTTAGTTAACAGTTATGTGAGTGTGGTCTGCAGGAGTCTGCTGGATGCAAGCTATGAGTCAGTTGAATTCTGTTGTTATAAGCAGTCATTTTTGTACAGTACGCTGTTTTTGATCTGTTCTTCTGTGAGTAAATGAAACCTTTTTTTTCTCTCTCTTTTTCTTATCGATGTCTCAGAGTGAGTTATTGAGACTGTAAATGCCAGTTGGTGAGATAAAAAAGGGGTGGTCTACTCTGAGGAGTCTTGAAGCTAAATTTGCTCTTTCAGTCCCAGCACTTCCACTACACTGCTAGAGGTTTTTAACCAAAATTCAAAACACTGCAACAATTCTCTCCCTAGTTTTTTAAGATACCACTTTTTAAAAAATGCAAAAAGTGGAGCATGCTGCTTATATACTGCCCCATAGCACTTAAAGCACTCTCTGGGCAGTTTACAATTTAATTAAGTGAGCTGGGTACTTATTTTACCAACCTTGGAAGGATAGAAGGCCGAGTCAACCTTGAGCCGGCTACCCCAGGTTATGAGCACAGTTTAGGCTGCAGTACAGCAGTTTAACCACTGTGCCACGAGGCTCTAACCATTGCGTTACGAGGCTTTTAATGCTTTCTAATGCTATTGAATCATTTGATATTTACATACAGCATATGACATTTGCAATTATAAGACTGGTACCTCACTGTCCTCCTACAAAAGTTGTTTAGCTGTGTTTTCAGATTTGGCGTTAACTGAACATTTTTATGAGCTCAGGTATTTTCCTGTGTTTTGCTTTTTTCCTCGCCAGCAATGTGACAGGATTCTTTTCTTTCAATGGGGTACCGACATTGTAAAAGACCCACAGATTTAAAAATTTCTATATCTGATGCATTATTTTTTGGGTGGGAGGGGTGGTTAAATTTGGCAGTAATGGAATAGGTTTAGGTCACTGTGCCAGGATTCAGCCACTTTGTCAGGATTCAGCTTCTTCTCTTCCCATCACAGATTTGTTACTGTGATCCTTACAACACATTTCCATATAAATGATGGCTTGTATGCTTCAACTAATTGTTGTTCAGACTATAAGGAAAATCCTCAGAGCACAGGATGTGTAAAACTATGTTCTCTGTATTGTTAGAGCATTTTGTTTCGTTTTGTTTTGCTTTGTCTTGCATGCCGTCCAGTATGCAGTTCAGTGCTTTAGAGGCCCTTTGGACCAAAAATTTTTTCTAACCCACCTTTCAGTCCAAATAATTCTCTCAGTCAGTTTAGGGTGGTGGAATCCAAACAGAAAAGATGAAGTCATCATGTATAACCTTGAAGAAGAAAATCAACCAATATTAAAAGTGATTTAAAACAATAATAAATTATAATAATGTGCTATCAAATCAATTCTGACTTATAGCAAGTGACCCTTTTCAGGGGTTTCCAGCTAGAGAATTATAAGAAGTGGTTTACCCTTCCCTTCTTCTGGGGATGTCCTCGGTTTGTGCAGCTTGCCCAAGGGCACACAGGTTGGCTGTACTTGCAGGAGGCAGAGTGGAGAATCAAACCTCTAACTAAACCACTGAGCTACTCAGCCAACACTAAAACAAAAGGTCAGAGATTCACTCACTTAAAACTTACCAAAGTTGAGATCAGCTTAGGGAATTCCAGCACTGGGATGCTGTTGCAAAGAAGGCCATGTTCAAAGATTCTTGAAATGCAAGGTCCATAAATTCAATCTGAATGAGATGCAAGTTGTTTCAATGAATTTGCTTGCATGGAGATTTTAGTGAAACTGAGGTGATTAATGGTGATTTATTTCCAGCAGTGGCTGGTAGATTATTGGCACAGGCCAATACCTATAACCTAGTCAGTGTGAGGTAGCTTGATGATTCTGTGTGTATGTGTGTATATATGTGTAAGAGCATATTTAATCTTCTTTTAACCAGAGATCTAAATATGTCTTATTTTTCATAATAAAGATATGCAGACATTTTCAAAGTCTGTTGTGCTGTAGCAAGCAAAAGAAAACAGTCCTCACAGAGACAATAAACTGGTCCCCTTACACACATGAACAAGTAGTATAATGGGTGAGATGGGAAATGGGTCACATTCACTGCTAATTGCTTTCATTTTGCTATTGGTCCGACAGAGCGACACCCAATCACGAATGCAATTGATGGCAAGAATACTTGGTGGCAAAGCCCTAGCATTCAGAATGGGATGGAATATCACTATGTGACTATCACACTGGATCTGCGGCAGGTAATCTTAATTCTTTCTTTCTGGCTTCTATAAGGTGGTAAAATAACTCTTGCATTCTTCTATAGACTACCAACAGTGGTGCTAAGCACCCATTCTAGACAGCTATGTGCCATCACGTTGGAACAGAGTTACAGTGACCCTAAAAGGATTTCAAGCGGAGCAATTTAAGGAGTAGTTCTACCAATTCCACACTCACAGGAAATATGTGCCATCAAGTTGGAACAGAGTTACAGTGAGCCTAAAAGGATTTCAAGCTGAGCTATTTAAGGAGTAGTTCTACCAATTCCACATTCACAGGAAGCTTCCATAGCTAAGTGGGATTCAAACCCTGGTCTCTGGAGTCCTACTGCAAGGGATTCAAACCCTGGTCTCCGGAGTCCTACTGCACCACTCTATCCACTATACTACACTGGATACCTAGTGTTCATTATATCCTAGATTTATCATTGCACACTGATTTTGGAACATGGTACCAAACATGGTACCAAACAACGTGGTGGCGCTGCAAGTTAAACCACAGAAGCCTCTGTGCTGCAAGATCAGAAGACCAGCAGTTGTAAGATCAAACCCACGTGACGGAGTGAGCACCCGTCGCTTGTCCCAGCTCCTGCCAGCCTAACAGTTTGAAACCATGTAAATGCGAGTAGGTAAACAGGTACCACCTCGGTGGGAAGGTAATGGTGTTCCATGTCTAGTCGCGCTGGCCACATGACCATGGAAACTGTCTGGAGACAAACACTGGCTCTACGGCTTGGAGACGAGTATGAGCACCGGGTCCTAGACTTAGACATGATTGGACTAAATGTCAAGGGGAACCTTTACCTTACCAAACAAGAGCTGTTCATGGTGGCATAACTCCTACATTCTTTTCTATTATACATACCAATTTCATTTATTCATATGCTTTATTTAAAACCTTGTAAGCATTACCTGTATCAGATTTCAATGTGCAGTACAGAAGTAGTAAATAAAAGCAAAACACACACACACACACACACACACACACACACACACACACGGATGCTGGGGCCATTGTAGCTGGCAAGACAAAGTCAGTGCCAAAACCACCAAACTTCCCAGGTTCAGGCTCAGGCTCAGGCATTCCTAGATAGCATTGAGAAAGACATCTGCCCAAAGCCCTGGAGACCTGGTGCTGAGTGGTATACAGGTAGATGCAGACAGAACACAGATTGAGTTCTACTTCGTGGATCTCCCGGGAATTTGCAGCTGAGTCACGTGGATTCCCCATTTTCATTCATTTAATAGTTGCACTACAAAATTTCCTTCCCCTTTCCACCATAAATTATTTTGCAGAAATGGAGAAAAACTTTGATGATCATGTGTGAATTTGTATGTTAGCTTTTGTACTCAGGCTTACCATCTGTATTCAGCAGGGGACATATAAGGAACACACGACAGAAAGGTAAGAGCAAATAAGCAGGTTCAGGCTGCAGGTTTCACCATGATCAGCTGGCATAGCAACAGCCTAAATCACTGCGCATTTGGATGATAGAATAGCCTTGCTTCTCTCTTCTTTCTCGACTTTGCAGCCTGCTTGAATTTTTGACTGGAAGGACTTGAAGCAATATTAAATTCTCCTAATTTAAAAACAAACCCTTGTGCTCAGTTGTTGTTTTTTTTAATTCTAGGCATATGTATATTGCACCAGGATTCAGCTGGCAGATCTGAGTTGTAGTCAGAAACAAAGTCTTCAAGCCTGATGTGTGCCCATCCATAAATCAGATAATTCAGAGCTATATTGACTTGACTCAATGGCTGGAATCCAGTGGTAAGTCATAACTGGAGCAAAGCTATTGAATCAGTAAGCAATTGCAGAGGAATTGACCCATGAAATCCCCACTGATTCAATGAGCCTTCTCTAGTTGTGACTTACTACTATATTTTGGCCAATATGAGGCAGCTTCCCCTATTTCTTCTTTCCTTACTCTGGCTAATTCAAGAAAGAGATTATCGTACTGGTGATTTACTTGCCTGTGCAATGTAACATCCTAAGAGGGGACTTGTGAAATATTGCTCTTATTTTTTAATTATTGGGAGAACAGATTCAATTTTTCTAATTGGTGGAGAAGAAACAATCTTCTGTAAACATTGTATTGCTCAGGTAATGTGAATCGACATCTTACAATATGTGGTGAAGGGGAGGGATAGGAGAGTGTATTATTTCAACAAATTTTGCTGTTTTTTTTAAAAAAGTAAGTATTAAGTTTCTAGCATTGATTCTAGAAGAAGACTGGAACCTAATCATTATCTGTTCTTAGAAATAGAAGGCATACATATAAAATTAAAACACAGCGATTGTTGTTTAGCAATTATGATTTGCTACAAAAAATGTTGACCGAAGGAAGCTTTGCAATAAACATACTCTTACTACAGAGAGCCCGACAAACTGTGTGAGAGTTTCCTAAAGGGTGGAAAAATGAAGCTGTTATACTGAGAAAGCTAACAAGCCCTGTTATATTTGAATCAGAAAGTAGCCATTGCATCTCCTGCCAATCATTCCATAGTGAACTTGATGAAATGACAGCTGTGTAGGTTTCAGAAGGCTGCTACCATTTAATGTTCAGAGGTATACTGAATCATGGCAGGCATGGAAGTCAGATGACTAGGAATGTCAGAAGAGAAGCAGCTTTATTTCCTTTACCTAATGCAAATGCAGAATAACTAGCAAATGCCAGAAATAAAACATCACAATTTTAGACTCTTTCCTGTTGCTCTTCCATATACATGATTTAAAAATAGAATAGATAAGCCAAGAGGCTCTAGCCTTCCTGGTATTTTAATGTACTCAAGGTTGTCACATAGGTTGCTGAAAGCTGGAGAGCTTGTGTGACACTGCAGGTGACAATAGCCAGAGCATCAAGTACGGTATGCTGGTGGGAGAAGAATAGAGATTAATATGTTTCATTTTCAAGAGCAAGAGATAAAGAGGCAGTTATGGACTCTGTAATTAAATTATCTTCAAGCTCATTTGAGAATTGTATTTTTGAGAGTTTACATTTATATTGAAAAGCTACTTTTAAAGGGGGGAGTAGAAATGAGCAAGAAATTTAATATTATGAGATGCTCAAGTAACTTGGCATGGATAAGCAGCTGAAAGGCCTCATGTGTCAACAGACTATTCAGTTAACAACTGTAAATCACTTGCTCTTTTCTGCTATGACAATGACTCAATTGCATGACATGAATTTCCCACTGAAATGCTTTGACCTCTATTAGTTATATACAGAACTTTGAGAAAATGGTTTGCTTGGACAACTCCAACCAGGATGCCAAGGTTATGCTAATGGGAGGATTAAGAGAGTTGTAATCCTAAACATTAACAGATTGTGTAGTAGAGTTAGTAAGAAAACAAGAAGCTTTTTCTTTTGACCTTTTCCTTTTCTGTTCCCCTTTTCTTCTGCATGGTCTGTCATTCTGTGTTCAACTGATATGCCTCCAATAAAAGCCTGACTGGCATAGACCCAAACCACATGTTATTTAAAAATGTAGGTAGCTGAAAGTTCTCTAGTGATATGCTTCACCTTATTATTCACAAAGAGACATCACAAAAGGGAAAATCCCAGATGTTTACTCCTTCTCTCATCAGTTAACCTCACCCAAAAACAAAAGAATTATCAGGGCTGTTTTTTGACAAATGAGAGTGATTCGTGAACCCAAGAGGGTGTCCTGTAGATCAGAGGTCCCCAGCCCCTGGTTCGTGGCCTGGTGCCAGTCCATGGCCTGAGATAGATCAGGCCGCAGAGAGAGACCTCCCCCCAACACCACATGCACTTGCCCGGTGCCAGTCCATGGCCTGAGACAGATCAGGCCGCAGAGAGAGAGACCTACCCCCAACACCACACGCACTCCCCCCGCACAGTCCCTTTGTGCATGTGCATGCATGCCGACACCCCTTCACACATGCATATGAGTGACCCCAAGTGCTGTCCTGCCCTTCATGCATGCGCACGAGTGAGTGTGCCCACATAAGCACCTTCCCGCTCCTTCACACCCGCTCTTCACGCATGCACACAAGAGCAGGGGGTGCCCCACCTTCCCCAGCCGGTCCGCAGGGTTAAAAAGGTTGGGGACCACTGCTGTAGATTATCTTGACCACTCCCATTTGTCAATATTAAGGCTGCCCTTTGCTATGTAGTTTGCCATCCTTTTTCTTGCTGGCAACACACACATGATATTGTGGAACAATATTGGGTCATTTCCTGACCCAATATTTTGAATATTTCTCTGTTTTTATCTATGTAAATTGTGTATATTTTAAATTGTTTCTATTAATATGTTGTGAGCCACCCAGAGTAGACCATGTCTAGATGGGTGGCATATAAATAAATAAATAAATAAATAGAATCATGGATACAGAAGCACAGTATGACACATTCATAAAATGGAAGGTTTTTAAATAATTCAATTTCCAGATTGCTGCTGGAAACCAAGGTCAAAATCATCCTTACTATGTAAAGGAAAAAATAGTGAAGGAAGTTTTGGTGGGGGGATCAGCTCAGTTAAAATGTGGTATTGAAGGGGGAGCCGTACAGATATCACAGACAACCAGAAAGGCAGATAAGTAGGTACTCAATCAAGAGAAGCATGAACTTTCTCGAGAGGAAAGATGAGTAAATTAAGGCTATCCTACAATGCACATACTGTATGAGAATGCAGAACTATCAGAAAAGACAATATTTCTGGGGGAAATGGTGGTGATGGGCAATAGGAAAAGAGGAAGACCTAACAAGAGATGGAGTGTGGACATTTAGGGTCCCGTATTTCTAAATGGGGAGTTTAAAAATGGGTTTACCTTTAAAAATTATAACTTGAACATCCTTTGCCCAAATTTCCCCAAGAGCAGGAGCAGGCTATCTGCAACAAGTCTGTGCCCAAATCCTGTTGCAAAGTTATGTAGTAATTTTTGTTTGGGCTGCCCCTCAGTTTTAGAACTGCCTTACAGAATGCTGATTTGCTCTGCCAGCACAAGATGATAGCTG